GAACCGTTCAACATGATTTTTGGTGAGGTTGACCTTTGAGTTCACTCTCTTGTGTAACACCGTTGCTACACCACACTCTTGTCAGAGGGTTAAACTCTTGGCGAGCTTGGGATGGTGACAGCATTGCTGAGGGACAACAAACCAAAGAAAGAAGAAAAGGGAGCCTTGATTTTTTTAAATTGGAAAGGTTCTTGGAAGTGGTGGTCAGATCATTTTGAACGTTTCACTGTTCAACACTGAACAAAACTGCAGAGGTTACAGATACCTGACCTCTCCAGTTCTCCAATATTCTCGTCTGATATACTCTATATGAAATCCTGCAGCATAGTGGTTACCAATCTCGCCTCACAAGCGAGAGGACCCAGGTTTGATTCCCGGGCAGGATGAAACATTAGATTAGGTTTCCTTGCTCCACACACCTCTGGTTACCTAGCAGTTAGTAGGATCTTGGTTGCTAGTCAATTGAAAGATCACCTTCTGGGGGTAATAATCCCTGCAAAAGAAAAAAAACTAAATTTGGTCACTTGATCTACGACTCTTTGTACAACACTGCTGTCTGCAATTAGCTGCTGCATTTCACCCACAAAATATACTATTGCTGTACTTTATAATATATTCTGTGAAGCACTTTGAGACATCTCAATGATGTGATAAGGCGCTATATGAAATGCAACAATTCTTATTATTCTGAATGCCATTTAAAAAGGGCCAAATTTGTGCTGTGCTGAGATATCTTGCAGGATCAGTTGCATTTTTCCTTGTTTTTACGTTCATTTTACTGCGTGCCTGTTTTCCATCTGCTTATAACCAGAAAAATCGGTGGACACTGGAAATCTACAATAAAAAAACAAGATTGCTGGATTGCAATGCCTTGACTGATGCTTCAGATGTGATCCACTCTCTCCTTTCCCTGGTCAGAACTGTCTGCTGGTCTCCCCTCCTTTATTCATCTGTGTTTTTTTTCTCCTGAATCCAACAAATCCAACTAGTGGCAACTATGATTATCTGCACAGAGAAGCTTAATCACATTGCATAGCTTGTACATATGGTAACCTACGAAATGCCTCCACCTGGTCCTGGGAATCTTGGTGGGATGAACTCCACCAGTGTTTGGGGTGCTTTAGCAGAATGCATTGGTGGCTGATCAAATATTCCTGTGTTTCAAACTGAGCACGTGTGGGGGGATTCAGATTCTGTTCAGTTGCCGCATTTTCTTTTGATGAAATCACGTTTCCAGTGGTCCATTTTTGTATTTGCTTTGGTTGGTTACGTCAGTGCTTAAATCTAGGTCAGTGGCGTTGCTTAGAAATGTGAAATCATGTTTGCTCTGCCAAATGCCTGAACAGTAAATCTTATCGGACTTAGAATGCAACCGGGGCTGAATTGCAGAATCAGCTGAGCTGATGTCATGTATTTTGATGTATTGGATCTTTGGTCTCAATCTTAAGGCCATTGTTTTAAAATTGTGCAATTGTAGAGCTCCTGAATTCAGAAAACGCAAAAGACTGCGGATGCTGGAAATTTGAAACAAAAACAGAAGTTGCTTGGAACACTCAGCAGATCAGGAAGCACCCATGGAGAAAGAAAAGTGAGTCAACGTTTCTGGTCCGCGAACCTCCAGCAGAACTCAATGGGTCCACGACCCTCTGTCAGAACTTCATCAGTTCTGACGAAGGTTCGTGGACCAGAAACGTTGACTCACTTTTCTTTCTCCATAGATGCTTCCTGACCTGCTGAGTGTTCTCAGCAACTTCTATTTTTGTTCCTGAATTCAGACATTATTTGGAGGCTGTTTTTAATATTAATAATTCTTGCATCTAATATAACGTTTTATCATGTCAAAACATCTGGATGCTCTTTGCAGGATTTTACTGTTAAGTGTAGTGACTGCGTATTTGTAGGCAAACAAAGCAGCTAATTTGCACACAGCATTGTCCCACAAACCGCTATGATGCGAGTGACCAATTTTATCTGGCGGATTGTTGGCCAGGGTCAGCCTTTCTGAGGTTCTTAAGGTGTTACTAACCCTGCCTGTAATGTTACTGTTGGCCCTCAGTGAATTTGGAAAAGTTTTCAGCTGCACATTCCAAACCATTGGCTGCCTGTTTGTACCGCTAAGCTATAAGGTAGAATTGGCTAAATACCTGGGAGAAGTTGCAGGGCTGTGATCTGATTGAAGGATGAAAGCAACATCATAAACTGAGAGTGAAGCTGCATAATATTCACAGACATCTGACCCCTTGCTCTGTAATTACTCCCCGGTGGTTTAATTTTTTGACAAAGCCACCAAAGCCAGAGCTCTGACACTTTATGGAGGTGGGGGGTGGGGGAGGATGGACGGACACAGCTGTTCGTTGCCTCTGTGCATTCTGTAATGCTTTTCAAAACAAGAGTTACAGCTGCACCTGAACTCAAACGTACGAGTTCCACAGAACCCAAATTGTTAGAAACGTTCTTTGAATGGCATTGGAAGTTTTGGGTGGTTTGGAAGGATGCACACATTTTACCTTCTGTGGATTTACATCGACTGCAGCGCGGAAGATAAGATCCGCCAATCGCAATTGGCTGCCGCGTTTCACCTACAAAATATAGTTAAGATGATAAGGCACTACATTAAATGCAAGGATTATTATTATTATTCGCTGCACTTCACCTTCCACCCTCAAAACTAGCTTTTGTATAACAATAGCTTTTGTCTGAGCAGCGACTTAATTTTTAAAAGGGTTATTTACAGATGGTGGTGAGATTGTATTTTGGGGGAATTCAAGTGAATCCTGAGCACACTTTGTGCTGTCAGATCACGAATACCTCCCGGGCACATTGACCTTGATGTTGTGATCACCCCTGACACTAAAGGTTGACGAGAATTTTCCATTACATGGAAATAAAAGGTCTCCAGGTTGTAAGATGTTATGTTCTCAACACTCAATGTGTAGAAGACTTACAAGACTTACTTACTTATTCTCAGCTTACAAGTTAGAAATCAAAGAATCCAATCAAAAACCTCACATTTCACCAGTTCTGGCCAGACGCCACTGGCCCCCCCCCCATCACTGAACGGATCGACTTCCAAGATCCTCACACTCTTGTTCAAATCCTTTCACTCTCTGGCAGCTCCCTACCTCTCCGACCTCCTCATACGCCAATCCACCATCCGAAACCTCTGCTCGACTGGCACTGGCCTCCCGCTCATCCCTTGCATCCTCCGCCCCACCATCAGAGGTCTCACTTTCAGCCACTGTACCCCGAAACTCTGGAACACTCCCGCAATCCCTCTGCCTTGCCCCCTCCCCTTTTCAAGTCCCGTCTGAAAACCTTCCTCTTCGATCATGTTAAGCGCTCTGAGACGCTACCCTGTGTGGAGGGCGCTATATAAGTGCAAGTTGTTGTTGTGAGTTCTCTATGCTGCCTGCCTGTTTTTCTACCCCCCTACCGATCTCTTTCATTGGTTTTAGTTAATTGGTCCTTATTTTCTTAAGGGTATCCAACACAAGATTTCTGCAACATCTTTATTTCAAAATGCATGCAGTAGTGCCACCTGATGGTTAGAGATTTGACCAGCATTTGAGCAATTAAGTCCATATCAACAGTGGTGTGCTATCAGTCCCCTTATTATAAATAATAATCCTTGCATTTGATATAGCGCCTTATCATATCGTTGCGACATCTCAAAGTGCTTCACAGAATATATTATAAAGTGAAATAAAAACAAGTCGCTGAGAATACTCGGCGACTTCTGTTTTTATTTCAGATTAGCTGTATCCGTTGCAGCTATGCTTGCAACCAATTTAATTTAAATGGCCTTCTCTCTTCTTCTGGCATTTTTATTCGTCGTTGAAAGGCTTGATCTTCACTTCTTAGGCATCTTTATCCCTTAAGATTAAGAAAATGTGGTATTGAACTCTTAAGCATCCCTTATTCACATATTTGCACACATATCCTTTTGGGAGGACTCCTGTGGGAGGACTCCTGACAAATATACAGACATTTTGTCTTTATAAGTATAGAAGATAGATAGAGCTCTCTAGAAGTTGTGTGACCTCTGTCGCTACTTTGATGCAGAATACCTTTTTTAGGGGCTCATGCAAGACCTTTTTGATGAGGTATAAATCATGTCTCTACGTCAATTTGTTATTGCGTTCTTGGCAGACACATAGACAGCCATTTTGTCTTTATTAGTATAAATTTCCAGCATCTGCAGTATTTCGCCTTTTATATATTATAAAGTGAATTGATTGTATATTTTGTGGGTGAAACATGGCAGCCAATTGTGCACAGCAGTGTTCCACAAACAGTTGTGGGTTGAGTGACCAAATTATTGTAGTTTTTTTGAGGGTTTATTACCCCCAGAAAGTGATCTGCCAATTGACTAACAACCAGGTTCCTTTGTACTGCTAGGTAAACAGATGCATGAGGAGTAAGGAAGCTTGTTTCGCCCTGCGTGGGAATCGAACCCGCGTCATCTCGCTTGCGAGGCAAGTGCTCTAACTAATACGCTAGCAAACAACATTTTTAAGAGTAATGCTATTGGTGGGTTGAGGATTCCTTTTTGGTTTGCTGTGTAGTGAAATGCAGTCCAACATCATACTAGGTGTCAGTCTGGCTCAGTCAATAGCTTTCTTGCCGTTTCATTTGGAAGTTTTGGGTTCAAACCCCATGCCAGGGTATTTGAGATCAGAGTCTGAGCTGACACTCTAGTACAGTGCTCAGAGGAGCACTGCATTGTCTAGATGTACCGTGTTTTGGTCGAGATGTTAGAACAGGAGACAAGATCTTGGTTAAACTTCTCATCCAAAAGACAGTTCACGCAGCATGCCCCCAGCATTGCATTGGAGTCTCAGCTTAGACAATGTGAGTTCAAAGACATCACGTGGGATATGAACCCACAATATTTTGACTCGGAGATGAGAGTGCTACCAACTGAGCCAAACCAACATCTGAGTGATTGTGACTTTCTCCTTCAGACCTGTCGTGATAATATGTGTTTTCTTTATTTACAGATAACTGGACTCAAGATGCTTTTGGAAAAAAAAGGGATAAAACAGGTATTTGAAAATTTTTTGCAAAGATTATTTGTAGTATGAGTTTAGAAATTTCCCTAGAGTTACGTTCATCTTGGGTTATAGCCCACCAATGTACCACTGTTTTGACAGGATTATGTGGCGAGGCTAGATCTTGACAGAAATTTCCAATAAGAGTGCTCAGGATTGGAATAGACTACTAATGTTGCATCTTTCTGACACCAATATAAAACAAATTGCCTGTTAAATTGCTCAAACCTTTCAATAGATGTTTTCATCAAATAGCTGTCAAATCCCTCTTGAATTTGCTGTGACAGTCTGCTTCCACCATCTCTATGTTGTCCGTTCCACATATTCGTAACTCACTGACATCTTGTTGAATCAAAAGTGCCTGCTCATTATCCCTCTCTTGAGTTCAAATCTGTGTGTTGTAGAGTTTTTGTTAAAACATATCATTAGGGTTGAGCTTCTCTTTATTCTTTAGGCTTTTTAATACCTAAATCAAATCTGTAAATATCCTCCTCAAAGAGATAGCAATGACATCACTAATCCTAAAATTATATAGCACAAAAGGAGGCCATTCAGCCAATCGTATCTGTGCCGGTTCTTTCAAAAGAGCTATCCAATTCAATCCCACTCCCCCGCTCTCTCCCCATAGCCCTGCAAACTTGTCCTCCCCAAATAATTATCTACTCTTAAAAGTTGTTATCGAATCAGCTTCCACCACCCTTTCAGGCAATGCAGTTCAGATCTGAAGAACTCGTTGTTTGAAAAGATTTCTCCTCACACCCCCTCTGTTTCTTTTAACAGCTATTTTAAATTTGATGCCCTTGGGTTACCGACCCACCCATCAATGGAAATAGTTTCTCCTTATTCATCCTATCGAATCCCCTCATAATTTTGAAAATTTCGATTAAATCTCCTCTTAACCTCCTCTGCTCCAAGGAGAATAATCCTACCTTCTCTAGCCTCTCCTGATAACTGAAATCCCTTATTCCTGTTACCATCCCGGTAAATCTCTTTTGCACTCTTTCCAATGCATTGACATCCTTCCTGAAGTGTGGTGCCCAGAACTGAACACAGTCTCTCGCTGAGGCCTAACCAGTGTTTTATAAAGGTTCATCATAACTTCACGACTTTTGTATTCTATGCTCCTATTGATAAAGACTAGTATCCTGTATGTTTTTTGACAGCTTTATCTACCTGTCCTGCCACCTTCAAAGATTTACTTATATGAACCCCACAGGTCTCTCTGTTCCTTCACCCCCTTTAAGATTGTACCATCAGCGAATATTGTCTCCTTATTATTCCTCCCAAAATGCATCACTTCGCATTTCTCTGCATTAAACTTCATCTGCCACGTGTCCGCCCATGTTACCAGTCTGTCTATGTCCTCTTGCAGTCTTCTACTATCCTCCTCACTGTTTACTACTTTTCCTAGCTTAATATCATCTGCAGACTTTGAAATTGTACTCCCTATAACCAAGTCCAGGTCATTTATATAGATCAAAAACAAGAGTGGACCCAATACTGACCCCTGGGGGGCACCACTGCACACTTCCCTCCAGTCAGAAAAACAACCATTCACCATCACTCTCTGCTTTCTGTCTCCCAGCCAGTTCTGTATCTGTGCCGCTGTCCCTTTAATACCGTGGGCTTCTATTTTGCTTACAAGTCTCTTATGTGGCACTTTATCAAACGCCTTTTGATAATCCATATAAACTACATTAACTGCACCACCTTCTTCCACCCTCTCTGTTACTTCGTCAAAAATCAGTGGGATTAATAATAAAAAGACCACTTAGAAGAACAGGAAGCAGACACTGTGGGCTGAATTAAAATTTGTCAGTTTCTGTATTGAAAAGTCACATCATGCAATGAATATTAGGAGTTCTCCTTTAAGAACAAATGGCACCTGGTGTACATTAAGAGTACTGGCAGCAACACCCTGTGAAATTCTCAGCTTCCTGTGCCTTGAATATGACCTATGGGTGAGAGATTTTAGTGTTTCATGTGTATTTCATTGCATTGGCATGACACTGAATTATATTACACCCTTTTACCTCCGCTCCCATTGTAATGTTGCAGTTGGTGATGATCTCCTCCTGTTTTCCCCTTTTCCCCCTCCATAGTTCCCAGCGAGAAGCAGCTGAGTTGCTTAAGACAATGTATGTTGGTGCAATGGCGGAATGTAATTTTGTCCTGGCTGAATGATGGCATTGAGAATAATTTAATCAGACCAGTTTAACTGGGAGAGAAGTGCCTGTGGCAGCTGTGCCAGTTTTGAAGTATTTGCACGGATCTCACATTTAGCTTGCCAACAGAAAGTCCCCTGTGAGCGAGGGGGAAGAGGGGAAGCTTTTGGGAAATGAACGAGGCAGTGTGCGAGGTTGCCCTCAATAAGTCTCAGCAGTTACTGCACTTGAACGTGATCATGTCACGCATTCCAGATGTTGCACAATGGCCATCACACATGTGATATCGCCACACGCGTGACATGACTGCATATTGCTGCAAGATGACTTACTCCATCTCTGAGCACTTCCATTGTGGAAACCAGCCCAAGGCTTAAAGGTGGACAAGAATCAGTGAGGGATCGTCAGCTGACGTCTCACACCTCAGAGTGTAGATTGTTACATGGAATACTTTGCCACAAGTAGCTGTTGAGCCTGAGACTGTAACAGCCTTAAGATCAAGGGAGTAAGGAATTTGATTTAGTTAGCTCCTAGGGAGGAGGAAGTCAAGATTTTGGCTCAGTAAGCCACCTTTTGCACTATAATGTCTACCATTTTTGCAAGCCTCTTTGGATGTGCAAGTGAAACGCACATGCACTCACTGAAACAAGACTTTTCCTTCCAGACTTTAGACTTTAATATGTTAAAGCAATCCACTAATCTGAAATTGATATGTCTTATTACAGGGAAAAAAATAGCTTTCTCTCTTAAGTTTGTCAGTTCTTTAACTCAGGATACAGCACTGGAGTAAAACTCCAACCTACCTTTAAATATGCAACGCACTGAGACTGTAACAGTAGGCATCACTTATGATAACAATTCTGATCTGAATTGCATAAAACTGAGTTAATGGAACAGTTAAGCCATTTGAGTTCTATTGTGTAAAACAATTCAGTTATTTGTCAGTAGTGTGCAATGTTCAAGTTCTCCGTCATGCACCACAATGCGTATCCGAGGTGGTTTTGTCACTGAAACATCTTCTGAGTGCACAGCCACATGAAGCGGCAAAAATCCATCCTTACAGGACTCAGTTGTCTGAAAGGTGTTTAACAATGCTTTAGAGCATTAAACGTTCAATGAGCTTTGTGTTCAAACTGCTCTTTAAAGAAGACTTGATTTTTATTAATAACTCCTCTCGCTTCACAAGGAGTTATGATCAATCTTTTTTGTGGCACACACGTGGCAGCCAATTTACGCCAATAATGTCCCACAAACAGCCATGATGTGAATGACCAATGAATCTGGAGGAATGTTGACCAGGACATCAAGAAAAATAAATTTCCTTTTGTTTTCAAATAGTGTCCCAGGAACATTGATGTCCTCCCACTCCTCCCCCCCAAAAAATAGGAAGACATTGAGCTGGTTTTATGTCCCATTGAAAGGATGGCACCTCTGACAATGTTGTGCTCTTCAGTACAGTAAGGATTTGAAATCAATGGGGCTTGAACCCACAGCTCTCTGAACTAGAGATGATGGCACTACTGACTGAATTGAACATCAGTAATGCACTGAGATTATTAGTGAAGTTAAAATCATTAGTGATGGTTAAGATGATCTCTCGACACATCTGATGTGCAGTTTACATTGAAACCCCGGCTAGCCAGACTAATTGTAGGGAGATACGGTCTGGTGAACCGAAATTTCCAGCTAAGTGTAATTTCAATGCTGGTAAAAGTAAACCAATATTTTACTGTTATGTGGACACTGAAAAGACACTGCAGTCGTTTCTTATTCTAACACAAGAGGGCTCTCTGCCACCACAGAACAATACTGTGCTTTATAAAGCACCCTGTCCAATTGAAAAGATTTAGCTAGAAGCGTTTTTCCGTTGTTACTCAGAAGTGGTTGTTGCACATGCTATGAATTATTTACACTAATATTCAGTGGGCAAGTTAACTGGAAGTTCCAGACAACAGCCTGTGAACACGTCAGCTTCTGGCACTTTGTGTAGTGCCTGTCTTGAAAACCCATCGGATGAAATCCTGCTAGTGTTGCGCAGCAAAGTGTGGACTGGTAAGTTTTATTGTCTTATAATGGATAATGAACAAACAATAAACAAGGGTAATATCTGCAGCAGCCGGTTACTCGTAAAAGCAATCACGAGCGTTCATTACATCCAAACTCGTTTAAAGTTTTGGTGACAAATTTTGCTTGCTGGCAAGGTTTAGAATAACATCTGTTTTAATTTCTGATTGTATGACAAATGAAAGCTTGTTGCAGATGAGTAAAATACATCCAGAGAGACTCTGCAACTTTGTGAACCTTGTCACATACCTTTCCATGATCCGTTCTGCCTTTCCCCACCTCTGTAACAATGCCTCCCTCTGCCACCATCTCTCCCCTCAGGCTGCCGAGACCCTCATCTGTGCTTTCAGCTTGTCCAGGCTTGACTATGCTAAATCCCTGCTCGCCAGACTTCCCATCTCTTCCCTCCACAAGATGCAGAGTATTCAGAACTCTGCAGCTCATATCCCCTCCCGCACTAAGCTCCGTGAGTCGATCATCTCTATCCTTACCCAGCTTCACTGGCTCCCAATGCCCCAGAGGAACGGGTTCAATATCCTTGTCCTCTTTAAAAGTCCTCTAAGTCTGCTCCTCCCTACCTCTGCGACCTACTAAAATGTTACCAACCTACCTGCTTACTCCACTCAGCAGGTAGTGGCCTGATTCCTGTTTCCCACCCTCTGCTTCCCGTCCAGTCTGCTCCACTGTCAGAGGTTGGGGTTTCAGCCTTTCTGCACCCACGCTCTGGAATTCCGTCCTGGACCCTCCTGTCTCACTCCCTCCCTT